TAGCTAAGCAGCTAGCTACACAGCTAGCTACACAGCTAGCTACACAGCTAGCTAGGCAACTAGCTAGGTATCTAGCTAAGCAACTAGGTAGACAGCTAGCTAGGTAACTAGCTACACAGCTAGCTAGGCAGCTAGCTAGACAACAAGCTAAGCAGCTAGCTAGACAACCAGCTCGACAGCTAGCTAAGCAGCTAGCTACACAGCTAGCAAGGCAACTAGCTAGAGAGCTAGCCAGGCAGCTAGCTAGACAACTAGCTAAGCAGCTAGCTAGACAACCAGCTCGACAGCTAGCTAAGCAGCTAGCTACACAGCTAGCAAGGCAACTAGCTAGACAGCTAGCCAGGCAACTAGTTAGACAGCTAGCTATGCAACTAGCTAAGCAGCTAGCTAGACAACTAGCTAAGCAGCTAGCTAGACAACTAGCTAGGCATCTAGGTAAGCAACTAGATAGACAGCTAGCTAAGCAGCTAGCTACACAGCTAGCTAGGCAACTAGTTAGACAGCAAGCTACCAGCGAAGCAGCTAGTAAGGCAACCAGCCAAGCAGCAATCTAGACAGCTAGCTAGGCAACTAGCTTGACAGCTAGCTAGGCAACTAGCTTGACAGCTAGCTAGACAACCAGCTAAGCAGCTAGCTACACAGCTAGCTAGGCAACTAGCTAAGCATCTAGCTACACAGCTAGCTATGCAACTAGCTAAGCAGCTAGCTAGACAGCTAGCTAGACAACTAGCTAGGCATCTAGGTAAGCAACTAGATAGACAGCTAGCTAAGCAGCTAGCTACACAGCTAGCTAGGCAACTAGTTAGACAGCAAGCTACCAGCGAAGCAGCTAGTAAGGTAGGTACTGCTTTATCTAGACAGCTAGCTAGGCAACTAAGCTTGACAGCTAGCTAGACAACCAGCTAAGCAGCTAGCTACACAGCTAGCTAGGCAACTAGCTAAGCATGTAGGTAAGCAACTAGATAGACAGCTAGCTAAGCAGCTAGCTACACAGCTAGCTAGGCAACTAGTTAGACAGCAAGCTACCAGCGAAGCAGCTAGTAAGGCAACCAGCCAAGCAGCTATCTAGACAGCTAGCTGTCAAGCTAATTGCCTAGCTAGCTGTCTAGATAGCTGCTTGGCTGGTTGCCTTACTAGCTGCTTCGCTGGTAGCTTGCTGTCTAACTAGTTGCCTAGCTAGCTGTGTAGCTAGCTGCTTAGCTAGCTGTCTATCTAGTTGCTTACCTACATGCTTAGCTAGTTGCCTAGCTAGCTGTGTAGCTAGCTGCTTAGCTGGTTGTCTAGCTAGCTGTCAAGCTTAGTTGCCTAGCTAGCTGTCTAGATAAAGCAGTACCTACCTTACTAGCTGCTTCGCTGGTAGCTTGCTGTCTAACTAGTTGCCTAGCTAGCTGTGTAGCTAGCTGCTTAGCTAGCTGTCTATCTAGTTGCTTACCTAGATGCCTAGCTAGTTGTCTAGCTAGCTGTCTAGCTAGCTGCTTAGCTAGTTGCATAGCTAGCTGTGTAGCTAGATGCTTAGCTAGTTGCCTAGCTAGCTGTGTAGCTAGCTGCTTAGCTGGTTGTCTAGCTAGCTGTCAAGCTAGTTGCCTAGCTAGCTGTCAAGCTAGTTGCCTAGCTAGCTGTCTAGATTGCTGCTTGGCTGGTTGCCTTACTAGCTGCTTCGCTGGTAGCTTGCTGTCTAACTAGTTGCCTAGCTAGCTGTGTAGCTAGCTGCTTAGCTAGCTGTCTATCTAGTTGCTTACCTAGATGCCTAGCTAGTTGTCTAGCTAGCTGCTTAGCTAGTTGTCTAGCTAGCTGCTTAGCTAGTTGCATAGCTAGCTGTCTAACTAGTTGCCTGGCTAGCTGTCTAGCTAGTTGCCTTGCTAGCTGTGTAGCTAGCTGCTTAGCTAGCTGTCGAGCTGGTTGTCTAGCTAGCTGCTTAGCTAGTTGTCTAGCTAGCTGCCTGGCTAGCTCTCTAGCTAGTTGCCTTGCTAGCTGTGTAGCTAGCTGCTTAGCTAGCTGTCGAGCTGGTTGTCTAGCTAGCTGCTTAGCTTGTTGTCTAGCTAGCTGCCTAGCTAGCTGTGTAGCTAGTTACCTAGCTAGCTGTCTACCTAGTTGCTTAGCTAGATACCTAGCTAGTTGCCTAGCTAGCTGTGTAGCTAGCTGTGTAGCTAGCTGTGTAGCTAGCTGCTTAGCTAGTTACCTAGCTAGTTACCTAGCTAGCTGTGTAGCTAGCTGTGTAGCTAGCTGTGTAGTTAGCTGTGTAGCTAGCTGTGTAGCTAGCTGCTTAGCTAGTTACCTAGCTAGCTGTGTAGCTAGATGCTTAGCTAGTAGCCTAGATAGCTGTGTAGCTAGCTGCTTAGCTAGTTGCCTAGCTAGCTGTGTAGCTAGTTGCCTAGCTGCTTTATTTTCGCCAAGCCCCCATCCTTCATACCGTAAAAAAATGTAACAAAGATGTATGTAAATGTATATTAACTATATATTGATGTATGTAAATATGCATACAAAGAAAACATCGGATTGGCTTTTACTTTGCACAACATGCATTTCTAATACTACCTAACTACTATATAGTACATTTACTTAAAGAATATTGATTTTAAGCATTTTCTGGTTGAGGCTTTAGAACCTTTAAATATGTCGAAATCATTTCGAATAAATAGTATTATAGGTTGATAACATTCTATAAAAGAGGAGAGTTATTCCCGAAACTTGTCTTACAGGGGGGCTAGCTAGGGGCAGTGCAGTACAAAAGTCTTTCGATTTTGCAGCCGGCTATTATTTATAGGAACTGAACAAACTTTAATATGCTCAAAAATATCTGGTACATCGATATGACCATGGATTAATTTCAATAAAAACATTATATTAGAAACCTTCCTACGACTGTGTAGGGGGGCTAACCCATAATGTGTTGTGCGAGTCTGATAAGAGCGAAGTTGTTTACAAATGCCATCTGAAAAAGCTAGGTGGTATAAAAATCTTTTCTGGACAAGTTCAACTGTGTAAGAATGTATCTGGTACCCCGGATTCCAGACAGGACTAGCGGACTCCAAAATACTGCACACTATACTGTTGTAGATAAGAATAGTGATTTGGGGTTCCTTCAGAATTTTCATTTGACGAGTAATAAAACCAGTTAGTTTGGATGAATTTTTAAAAACTTAGTCTACGTGAAACCTGAAACTAAGTGATCTGTCCATAATAACTCCTAGATCTCTAATTTGAGTATCCTCTGTAATGAGGACGACTGGATGAAGTACGCTGCTCTGGTAGCGTGTGTCTTTCTGCTAAATTTCATGTTAAAGCATTTACTGATATTAAGTTCCATACCGTTGCGTCCACACCATTCTATTACGTTGTTTATGTCGGACTGAAGGATATTTATATCGTCTAAGGTGTTTACAGCTCTGTATACTTTCAGATCGTCAGCATAAAGTTTAAATTTGGATCTAATCACTCCAGCATCAATGATATTTCATTGATAAATATTAGGGAAAATAAGGGCCCCAAGTGAGGCCCTTGTGGTACACCTCAGGGTATAGTCCTAGCTCTAGATTTATATCCGTGTATAGCAACCAACTGGGATCGATTCCTCAGATACGACTCGCACCATTCAAGAGTGATCCTTGCACATCCACGATTCTAGCTTTTGAAGTAAGTGGTCATGATTCACAAGGTCAAAAGCTTTTCTAAAATCTGTGTACACAGCATGAACTTTGCCTATAGAGGCAACAATTACAAAGGTGGTTAATATACGATAAGAGGTTAGAAGTGGTTGACTTACGGGGCAAAAATCCATACTGCTCGGAATTAAGAAGACCTTTTAACATGGTTGTAAAGATATTTCTGAACAAACGATTCAAGAATTTTACCGGGTGTGGACAAAATTGAAATGGGCCTGTATTTGCTAACGTCGTTTATATCACCGTCTTTGTGAATCGGTGTGAAATATGCAATCTTCAAGGAGAAGTTAAATATTTGAGTTAAAGGTTGACTTAGGTATTTAGCGCAACGTTTGTAAGAAACTGATCGTAAAGAATCTGGCCCGGTTCCTTTATAGATGATCAAGTCAATGTCTTTTTCAGACAGCGAAAAATTAAAAAGTGCTTGGTTTTTGCTGTCGCGTGGCTCAAGGTGAAGGGTTGGTGGCAATGGGTTTGCGGTTCCTATAAACAGTCTGGAAATATTGTGAGAACAAGTCACAAGCTTGCTGACCACCACTGCCCGTTACATTATTGCACTTGACCTCCATTGGGTATAGATACCCGGCTCGACTTTTTATTCTTGACAAACTCCGAAAAATACTTTGGTCTATCGCGCAGATTTACTTTAGCCTGTTCTTTGAATTTTGTATAACACTCCATAATTAATGCATTACAACGTTTTCTTAAAATATTATAGGTGTACCTATCCAATGGGTTGTTATATTTTTTGTGCCTAGAATGATATTTGGCATTTTCTTTAAGAGCTTTAATTAGTGACTTACTGTACCACAAAGGGTATATAGGTACAGTAAGTCACTTAGGGTATTTAATCATATTGAGGTTTATAAGGTGTGTGTTTAATTATTATTGGCATAACACTGTTATAGAATTTATTTACCATATCATCTACATCTTTAACTCCACTCCAAATGAGTTTCCAGTCTACTCTACTAGTAAAGCTAACATTATTGATACTCGTAAGTATTAAATGACATATCGCTAACTAATGGGGGGTGATGTTCATCATTTTTTCTCAAGTAAGGGATTCTCGGCCATAGTTGTTTTGATATATTCCGGTTTATTACAGAGCACTAAATCAAGTATCCTTGGTTATATGTATAACCATAAATACTAATAAATAAAAAAAAATGAAAGATCTGATGAACATATTATTTATTCGTCTCATAAAGAATGAAATGTGTATTAGAGTTAAATTTAAATTTCCAATCGTAAAATTATGTAAAAACAATCCGTCAAAAAAAAGCGTCGCGTCTGTAAGCGGCCTGTTTTGAATAAAAACAACGACTCGCCACGAATATGGTCAGTTCTATTTGTAAGCTCCGAGAGATTCCTCTTGATAACTTATCGTACAAAGATTTCAAAAACAAAAATTCAAAAATGGTTTCGAGAACTTTGATTTTCTTGGCCGCTGTTGTGGGTTTTTCTAGTGCTGCTACCTGGCTAGGAAAGTTACCTCCAAAACCATTGCATTTAGGTGAGTTTATCAATATTATGTATATCATCATTATCATCATCATCAACAGCCTAATTATGTCCCCACTGCTGGGGTTTTAAGTGTGTAACAAAAAAAACTGCCATTTCCTTAGATAAAAGTATTATTAAACAAATAGTTTTTATGAGGTTAATAATGACCCGAAACGTGTAAATTAAAAACAAGAAATACATATACCAAGTTGAATTTTATTGTTTTTATATTTTCTGTAGGTTTAATTAAAAATATATAAGTATTATTTTGTACATTAAAGAAACAGTTACTTATTGATAACTGTCTTCTTTTCACAACGTTATAGTGAAAATATTATGTCATGTTTCTTGTTACATAATATTGGTTGTGTTTTGAAAGTTTCCTGAGTAAATAACGTATACCTAATACAAACAGACATTATATATTAATGTGTTCGATCTAAAATTATGTAATTTATGCAAACTTTTCTTTTAGCCATCTCAATTAATCTTATAAGTACTGGAATTTCTCATCATACAATATTTTTTTATTGCAAAAATCGTATATAATATTAAGCGGTCCGCCTTCGCTTAGCTTTGGTATGGATTACAGTTTTTGCTCTCGAGCTTATTGTTCTATCTATTGCTGATAAACTGCATTAAAATCCGTTGCGTAGTTTGAAAGATCTATGCGTTAAGACAGCGGGAGCGACTTTTTTTTATAGACAGAAAGTAGTTTTGAAAAGTACTGTTTCAGGAAACAAAAAAGTTTAAAGAATTTCTGAAAAGAACTTATTGTTTAAACTAAACAACTGCACTGCAAGAGAATACTTTATAGTAGTAGGTCGTTAACTCTACATCCGCCTCTAACGAATTCACTCGGGTTTTTTTGTATTTTCTTGTTATTTAGATCGTGATACTGGTTTCGTTTCGACAAATTGACGTAAACGGATTCCATGAGGTCGCATAAACAGTGTTATAAATATTTACAAGAATGTTTGTTGTATCCGCTTTTTTGTTGTCCAATGACGCGAAAGGGCCTTAATGGAATTGGAGCCATTATACAAAACCGGCCAAGTGCGAGTCGGAAATATATAATATATCCTACTTAATGAGCTCTAGGCAATAATTTGTCACATGCAAGGGCAAAAAACAAGGAAAATTTAACCTCCTTTTCATGTATCTTGAAATATTTTTACTATCGCAAGCATCTATACTATCGGCTATTGTGGCCACTTACCAGCGTAGGCGGGCCATATGCATGTTTGCCAACCTTTTAATATAATAAAATTATTTTATTATAAAAAATACGCACTGGGTACATTTCATAAATAACTGTTTCCTTTTGGTAGTTATATAGTTCTTCGGGTATGTATTTATATATTCTGCAATATACGCAAACAATAAATGCGCGGTCAAAGTCTGTATAATACTTGCAATTATTATCATAACGCATGCGTAATGTTGTCATTAATTCGATTTTAAACGATTCATTTATATGCGATGTCACGTTTAATTTATTCTCTCCGTAAATAATTGATTTCCCGTTCCTCTGGACGATTTCAACTTGATTTGCAAATAAGCAAATTAGAAAACACACACTTTGATTGTATAACCAAACATTTTTCTAAAGGTAGTAAAATTCATACTGTTTCAGACAAACTTTTTTAACAATATTTCGCAAACGGATCGCTATATCGAAAAATAGTTCAGGAACCATTAAGTGATTTTAAAAGACCTATTCAACGATACCGCACACGATGGGGTTAACGATGAAAAAATACGAACATCTCCCAGGTTACATGTACGGGAGCAACCCTAAATAAATATTTTTCAAAATGTTATTCTACCATTTTGTCGGCATGATTGATATACATATCTCCACAAAATCATAAAAATTACAGCTCTCTAGTGCTAACAGTCTCCAAGCAAAACGGGGGACGGACATGCCGAAACTATAAGTCTCTTTCAGGACTACGGAACCCTAAAAAAGAATCATTAAAATCGGTCCACGCATCTCGGAAATATGCGCAAACAACAATAAAAAAATCAGACGAATTGAGAACGTCATCCTTTTCGAATTCGGTTAAAAAACATGGCAGATATGTCTTTTTTATTTAATTCATTTTATGACATGACTGCATGGATTTTTATTTACTACCAATAATATAAATGAATATGCAAATGAAAAATATTAATTTGTAAGAAAGTGAATTAATCTGTTCATCTTTTTAATAACACTTTCACTCCAAAAACTGAACCGATTTAGATAATTAAGCCTGGAGATAAAGGGGTCCTATGAGAAGTACAAAGGTTCGAAAATAAAATTCGATGTCTACGGAGTAGGGGATGAAAAAAATATCATTATACGCGATGATGAAGGGTTTCATCCAGTGAATCATGTTTACCATCGGAAGACGAGACGTGGACAGGGTTTCATCCGTACGTGGTTGACATATCTCCCCTTCATACCTCACGATTTGCATCCCCTTTTATCATGCAAGCTGTATTCCCCGATACATATAATTCAAACCTTCAAGGCAAGAGTAATAATGCATTATTTGAGTGCGTTTGCGGTCTCCATCTCCATGGTCTTAGACCATCATTCCTTAACATTAGGCGCGATTGTAGTCAAACGTGCACAAATCCTTAAAAAAAACTATAGATCAACATGGATGCGACCTGAAAGGGAATAGCCAAAGCGTTCTGACAGTTTTCTCCATGGGGAACGCGCACACAAGTGCTACAACACACAACTGCAAAGATGCATAAACATGCATTAAATAAATATATATGCATTTATAAAATAAATCTTAAGTTCCCACATTTTATTTGAAATGAAAAGGTTTCATTACTCTTATCACCATTTAATCAAAGTAAAACACATACACAAGGAGCAGAACAAACAATCGGCCTTAATTAATTACTCGTGGAAAAACCGCTAAACGGTTTCAAAGCTATAAAAAATCATTGCCCTTTATTATGGAAATGTTTACTCGTGTTTCTGTTTTTTCAAAAGAATAATACTTACCTACATGCTTTTTTTATTTTCTAAGATAAAATGAACTGTACTTTATATAATGGTTTCTTTTATGTTATTCGAAGGCTATGGCAGTCCACGCTTTGTTTAGGAAAACTTCTGGCAATTTAAATTCAATAAAAGTTATTTACAACGCTGAATTTAATGTTTTTTGTAATTTATACCTACTATATCCTGCACAATACAAATGGCAACTAAAAGTACCGCGCAGCTTCCGCAACACAAAATCAGCTAAAATATAAAGGCAAGGCCTTATAGATGATAAAGCATCATTTATCATTTTTAGTGTGTTTGTGTGTAACATAATGATGTTTTGTGTGTTTTAAAGACTGCCTTTTCAATACTTCCGAGTTCAAATCATTAAATGAAGATTTAAAATTGTATACAAATTGAAAGAATATAATTAGCTTGAAGGCGCCTGACTCAATATTTGTAAGCACCCAATAAATGCAATAATTATATCTTTGCTGCCATATGTCATGACCTAAATGACTGTGTAATTATTCAACACCCAGTTATGCTAAATTATATAATATCCACCATATTTTTTTGTAATTCAGAGATAGTATTGTAAAACAAGAATAAGCAGGTACCTACTTAACATACAACAACATTAAATATTTATATTAATCGCAGTCTATACTTCTAACGAATATATGAATAACATTTGTTTCTCAACAACATATATTTTGACTTATCACACATACCTATATAATAAGCTGGCTGAAGTGGAAGTAATACATTTCATTCTCGTTAAGGAATGAGTCGGAAAGTTTATGTACGTACAAAATTAAATCACTATTGTTTCTACCGAGTACTTTTGAATTCCGTCAAAATAGTTTTTTGGTTACGTCAACATACTTATTGTCTGGCGAAATTTTCTTCCCCTTGTATCATAATTGCAGAATGTCGTATCATATTGAGCCAGGCCGCAACAAGAATGCGGGGTCAAGGTCCTCATTTGTAAACATAGCCGAAGGTCACACAAGTATCTTAAAAATAAAGAAGACAGCTTTAAAAGTCTGAATTGGAGATTTTTTAAATTTTATCGCACAATTTCATATTCTGACTTTTGTAAACAATCAAACCTTGACCTCTCTGCTTCTCGACATACAATAAAATTATAATCTGAATTTGTATCGTCGTATTTCCAATCTTATTTATTTTTATTAATTTGATGTCATGCATATTTCAGTATCTTTTTAACACTTTATAAGAGTAGGTTACTTTTAGTAGTTTCGACTGTCTCGAAACTACAAATAAATCGTATGATAATAAGTTAAATAAGAACTTTATAAGTCCTGAATGTTTCTACATCATTTCCTATTCTGAATGCATAAAATTAACAGAAGACACTCAAAAAATTTACAAAAAAAATACATATTTAAAAATTAAATTAATATGTGTTTTACTTTAGTATTTTGAACAAGTGTCGGGAACTGATTTCGAAACACTGTCTAAAATCAATTTTTTTTTACAATTTGAAAAGTTACTACAAAATATATGCCACACTTTCATTAGTTACAAACTCAGATTACATAGAAATTAAACAAGTTACTTAAATATTCTATTTTACGCATTCGCGTTAGTTTGTATTTTCAACTACTCAATAGATATTTCAGGATTCAATCTTTCAAAATGCTTAATGATTCTCACACACTTGCGCGACGCAGCATGTGCAAAATTAGCGTTAAGAATTCGAATTTAGTTCTATCGTAATGAATTATCTAGCTGCGTGTCTACAGCTAGTGCATATAGCTTGAATGACGATTTTTGACACGCATAAAAAAGGTTGTAGGAGACGATAAATATGTATGTGCACCTGAAGGATCGTACTTAATTCACTTGACATCTTTTTTTCTTTATTACAGCCCACAAGCACGGCTGCTACGTGAAGGAGGTGGAAGATGTGATACCTTTTGGAGAATCCATCTCACCCATTGGCAGTTGCGTTAGAATCGATTGCGGCAGATCTATGATTTACTATGCCTCGTAAGTATCAATAAAAACTTTGATAAATTTGTATTAGATTTTATTGCTGGGGAAGTTACCTCCACCTTAAAAAGGTTACAGTGAAATAACACTACATTCCAGAGCTCCAATGTGTCTGGGTTATCAACGGTGTGAGGGATATTTTTTGTATCGATAGATTATGGGATATCTTACCATCAAAAGGGACATACACCACCCTTTTCAGAAAAAAATATATATTTATAATTCAGTTAATAATTCTAGATATCTTTATCTAAAAAAATCGCTAGTAATCAAAAAGCTTGACGTCTTATTTTATTATTACAAACCATTATAAAATTTAATTTTAAAACCTATTGTGAAGCCTAAGAAAGGACATTGTAGTACAATGACATATGATAATAGTGCTGATTATAATAAAATATAGTTTTCTCGCCGACCATGCAACAATAGCTATTGTTTAAGACGCTCTTAAGCTACCACCATATTTCAGTGTACCTGTTACTCAATCTAACTCGTGAAAAAATTGTATTTAACGTATTTTCGTTGTTTAACTTTATCTTAATTTTTACCATAACCCTTTATAGTTACTTGAAATTTGAAATATGTAAATAACAGATTTTTCATTTTGTTATTAATCGAAGTGAATTATTATATTACGTCGCCACGATTTTTTTCGTTCATCTTTACTTTAGATTTGTATAATAAATTATTTATTGTTTCTAAAATATTCAGTCCTAATCAACAAGCATATCAGTAGTTCAGTAGTAGAAAGCTCGCCTGCTACACGGACGTGCCGGATTTGATTCCCAGCCGAGGAAAAAATATGTCCCTTTTAGGGTTCCGTTGTTAAGAACTTAAAGTTTCGTCATGTGCGTCTGTTAGCACTAGAGAGCTGTAATTTTGTGGAGATATGTATATCAATCATGCTGACAAAACGGTAAAATAAAATTTGGGTAAATATTTTTTTGGAAGTTTCCCTGTAAACTGAAGATGATTTTATTTTTTCATCTTCTACCCCATCGTGTGGGGTATCCTTGAATAAGTCCTTTAAATTCACTTAAGGGTTTCTAAGGCCCGTATTACAGAATAACAACTAAGTGTTGATCTTTACTTCAGTGCAGTTAGAAAAGGATGTCGCTATGTGCTATATATAGCGACATCCTTTTCTAACTATGCTCAAGACTAGATCAATTACTGAGCATATTTCTATAAAATAAGGGCCTTAGACTATTTTTCGATTTAGGGATTCGTTTGCGAAATATTGAACTTAAAGTTCGAGTGCTAATTTTTGTTCCAGTAGGGTGACCCTCCTCTAAAAGCTAAACCATTGTCTTGAAAAACCTAGAAAAAATAGACCCTTTCCAAAACATGTTATTGTGGTGACGACGAGCTACTTCTACGTAAAACACTGCGCGTGGCACGACACGCACTTGACCGGTTTTTTGTGAACGATTTTAAAAGTTTCACGTGCACCTTGGATTCACCAAATCACACCATTTTGTATAAAATGAATTGTCTAATATTTCGTTAATCTCCTTTTCACAGATGTGGGGTTGCGGCAGTCGAAGGCTCCGATTGTTACTTAACCGAAGAAAACACCAGTAGACCATATCCTGAATGTTGCCCACAAATCAAATGCGTAGAAGAAAACAAACTATGAACAATGATGAGACTAAAAACGTCCGGATTTGCCGCTGTAACTGGTTAATTTATTCGACTGAGAAAAGAAAGACTTAAAAAACAAGCTTGGATCTTTAATTTATTACTTCTAAAAGTTTGGCTGAATATTTAAGACATGGTCACAAATTCATCGATACGAAACGTTAAATAAATTAACGCAACCTTTAAAAAAATCTTTTCCACAAACTTAGGAATAAAAATATTAAGAAAGAAGAAATATATCTCGCAGCATCACAAACTTTACATTAAGGTTGTTTTAAAAGCACGAGTGTTGTTAGAAGAGTTGTTAGATGTCTTGAATGTGTTTATAAAATCGTAATGTTAAATTTTAGTTATCATACCTAGTTTAGTTCTACTGTGTGATAGATAAGTTAGTAATTTAATGTATAGACGTGTGTGAACGTAATCGGTTGAGCTCATGGTCAATGTTTGTGCCAAGAGCAGTCAAGGATCAGTCAGTGGTAACAATTTGCCATATAAAAAGCACTTTTAATAGTTATAAGAGTAATATATGAGAGTCCTTGTATGTCGACTGACACGACCTTGACTGCACTATAACGACGTTATCACCTGTGACCGCGTTTGTAAACGATTTCCGTCAATCTCTTGCTGTTACTTATAAGTGCCTGAATCGAGAAAGGATACCGAATGGAATGAAACCAATCGGAAAATGTTACTTCTCTAATTTTAACACACTACGAAGTATTGTCAATACATGGAAACATATTGAAGATTAATGAAAAAATGTTAAAGGACCTGTTTATATGTGATAACGCCTTAACACAAATTACTTGTTATATGTATGTGTAAGAGAAGCCCTGACGTATATTGTATTTGTAATTTGACGAATGTGAATTTCCAAATATTATACTGTCTTTAATTTACTGATAGTAATCGAATAAAGCAAAAAAAAACAAAAACAAAAACAAAAATTTGCCTGAAAACTTCGCAATTATCTTAGTGAGCCTTTTAGAGACACAAATCAAAATGTTCAGTGAAATCCCTAAATACTGTTTCTTTCTTATCACTCGATTTAAAATGTAGTTTAGGTTTTCCATGTATCTTGCTTAAAGGGCCTTATTTTACGCGATGCTTCATACATTGTCCTAATGAGGCTAGCCGAAGTAAAATAGTTAAGACGAAATACTGTCACAACATGTTTGATAGAGTTCCTTTTTTGAGAGTTGGCATTGAGGGATGTAAGTTTTTCGACGCCAACTTTAGAAGCTATCTTGCCACCAAATTATTGTATTTATTTATTGAATTTATTTAATTAAAAGAATTTGGAATGAAATCCTTTTTGGTGTCTGATTTTTTCATGACCTCTTAATACTAGAGTTTATCGTTTACAGCGTTAATCTGTTAATGGTCCTGCTGGGTCGCAAGCCCAGTGAATAATGGTGGGCAGTGTTGCCAACTACTAGCATTGCCCAGTTGCTAGACATCTTACAAAATGTTGCTAAATAGTCAGTTTTTATTACCCCAAAAAGTTGCTAGAAGTAGCTAAATGTTACACTAGGTAAAAAGGATACTATATTACAAGAAGGGATATCAACACTGACCGTAGACGCAAAAAACCTTTATTTTAATAAGAAAAACTTGTAAACTAAAATTATCTTTTTTTTTCCCGTCGAAAAAGTTTGCTTTCAACAAACCGAGTTTGAAATTCACGTACCTGTTTTGAACTCTAGTTTCTGTCTATTTTTTTTTGTCCTAGCAAATTTCTTTATGTCAAATAGTTTAGCCAGAATTTCAGTAGAACAATTAGTACAAAACGCTTTGCTTGAGACTCTACTTGCTGCTTTTAACGAACCTGTCTGTATTGCTGAGCTTATGTTTTTTTCCTCAAGGGTAAATCCATTTTCACATTAAATTAAAACAGCGAGCATTAGTTTTATATGGATAAAACAAAAAAATACTGGGTACAATACGTACGTACGAATGGTGCATACCATTTTGGTGTAGTAAATAAGTACCCACGTTCTGTCATAGCGCATTCTGTCGTAGCGCAACATTAAATGGGGAAATCCCGGCCAAGGACCACCTATATAGTATCCTTTATCTATGATCATAGAGTCGCGTTCAGTTTTTATTTTTTCGTTAAAGATTTGGTATTCTATGAATCTCTCATGATGAAATGAAAAGTTGCTAGAAAAAATAGCTAAAAAGTTTAGCTACAAATTTTATTAAATTGTAGCTGTGTGACACCAACTAATCTAGCTAAAAAGTTGCTAAGTTGGCATCACTGATGGTGGGTGCTTATGCCTGCAGTTAAAGCCTCACCTTCTGATAGCCATTCTTAGTAAATTTTTAGTCACATATTCTTCAACCGGATATTGAGAAAGTGGCTTAACTTCCACAATGACATGCTGATCGAAAGTGCTAAGCACTGCGCCACTGAGCTTAGGTTCAAAGATAATTTATTTCCCATAAAGACCATACAGTCCACTTAAAATGAGAATATAAAAATAACATGCAGTTGTGTATTACTTATTGCTCCTTTTGGAGTTAGTATACTAAATTATACTTAATCGAATTATCGCATAATTCTTTATGTCATAATATAATTATGCATATCATCGGATGGTATCATCGTCGAATCACTCATTTATCAGACATTCAAAACTCATAATTCTGTAAGCCAGAATGATCTTTATGCATAAATTTAATATCTACAATAATTAAAAAGCAGAACGATCATATCGCAGAAAGTTCACAGTCGAAATAGTCTTTTGGCAAACAAAATATTTAACTATTCATTTTTAACACGCTTTTTTAGGTCGACATGTAAGTAACTATGTAATGATTTAAGAATCTGAATTACACGCACTTCTTATTCTTGTCTCATCATGAAACTTGGCAATTATATGTAGGTTAGATGACAATACAATATTATGGTACCATCGAGCTGGTCTGATGATGGGACTGGAAGGTGGCTGATGGAACCTTCGACTGCCTACTAATAAACATATCGAATTTGGGCTCATTCGATAACTCTTAACATATTCTATTCATTTTTCCTGATGACGAGGACCTGACGATGGACTGGAAGGTGGCTGATGCACCCTGGACTGCCTACTAGTAAACAAATCGAGTTTGGGCTCATGAGATTCGTCTAAACATAGTAAAAAAAGTATATAATATGTTAAAATAAACTATAAACATGGCTGACTCTAAAGCCCTAATGAAGTAAACAGAGAGTATATTTTGTTTATTTTGGCTTTTTAATGCAGTAAATAAAAGCGTGTTTTAAGTTTTTTAACTATGCCGAGGCAGCGACCGGCGAAGCGCCATTCACCTGATATATGTGTATAATATAATATAATAAATCACCAAGGTATGGTACGGAACTCTTTGTGCGCATTCGCAATTGGCTGGTTTTGTTTTGTTAAATAAAGCTCTTTCCGAGTAGGGATTTTATATTTAGTATTATACTATACTATATTACTACTTAGTAATAGCAGGTAATTCACTCAGACGGGTAATCCCATTTGAGCGGAAAATACGCTTGGAACCTTTCTTGATGGTGTATTATGCTGTCGTACCATTGACTGTATGTCATACCAACCTGGCAAGGAATAGGATCGCAAGCATTGTATTATTAAGCCCAAATGCAAAGGACATTGCTCGTTCCCCATACATTGAATGCCCTAGAACGCCCAGCAATGAGAAAATGCTAGTTGTGTTCGGAATCATTCATAAACTCTAAATAAGCATTTGTTGAGATACGGACAACTTGAGGAACCGTGGCCTACTACAGAATGTATTAGATTTTGAGGTTATAATTATTATACTTAATCATAAAAGATGTACACTTTATATATTCTGAATAGATTTAGTGTTTACCTCTATGTAAGCACTTAAATAATATGCATTAAATGAACATAAAATGCAATTAATAATAAAAATAATAAATGCTTATATTCATATTGATTTATGAGTGTTGTCAGTTGGCACCTATGATACCTATACCTACCTGTAGTAAGTAATGATAGATTTCTTTTCAAATGAAATGTTCAGTCTTTCCATTTACCTGTTCCTATAGTTTACTATCGGTAATTAGGTATGTACCTGGTTATCATTATGATTTTCATAAAAATAAACCGATATTACATGGGATGGGAGTATAAACTATCTTTAGATAATTTCAGAAATAATCTTTTCATAAATATAATATAAATACTAGTAATAAGTATTATTAACTAAGGTACCTTGTTCTATTTTTATGTTGATAAATACCTATGGTCGCCTATATTGCATTACTAAGGTAAACAAGCTTGGCACAACTTTTTAACAGAATCACCCATTTAATAATAAAATATTAACGAAGCCAATAAACTATTGAAATAAATCGTTATTATAGACTGAAACCTATTGAATCCAGTTATCAGTTGATTTTTAATGCTGTATTTTCAATAAAAAGGAGTGTCAAGTTGGATGAACAGACTGTAGTATCTAGTAACAGAACTTTTATTTTTTAAACAGATTGTCCGTTTACTATGATTAATTGCTAATAAGTTAAAAAAATAATAGAAAAATAATAGTGAAGGACATTCTTTTGGGCATGCTAGGGCCGATTTCGTCGATGTCCTTTACTCAGTGTGTATACCAGGAACAGATATGTACTTGAGAGTTTTCTCCTTCTACTACGGTAACGACCAACTAGATCCGAGGTTTACTTCTTTAAACCTGCGCAGACGAGGAACTTTTGTCCACGGAGGACTTTATTGCGCCGTAATACATCGCTTGCAACTGCATCTAATAATGCACATGGCGGTCAAAAGTCACTCTAACTACCACAGACACTGAGGGACAAAAAAAAACCGACAAAACCGAGGTACGCGACAGTCCTCGAAAAAAATGGAATATCAGTATGTGACAAGAGGCAACAACGCATCCAGCGGACTTTAGTCCGCGGTTCGGTGGCGCGGCTCGATATTTTTTAAGGAATTCTTAATCGTCGATAGTTTTCATCATCAGAAATGCAAATGAAATAATCTTAAAGGATTAATCAAATAATTGAAGAGAGTTGTCTAAGTCTGGAATGAAAAACTTAAAATTAAGTAATCAATTATTTTATTGTCTTTTGACCTTATGTTATTTTTTGTATTTTAAGTGATTACAGTGATTAATTCAACTTCAAGTATGTTGTTCGTATGTTTTGCATCGCTAAACACATAAACTATATTATATTATTTTATCTTTCAGAAAGATCTTGAAACATTGTTTTATTCAATATTATAGAGAAAGCATAATAAATGATCTCAACAATAAAAATAAATAATCATGTTCCACACACCAGTGTTCCTATTTAAGAACTTCTGCTCCTTTTTTAAACTTCATGTTAATTACAATACGTTATCTGAGAATATTGCTTCCATATGGTGCGCCTCACAAAATTTTCGGGGGACGAATGTCCGCACGCCGTGTGCGTTGAGTCTGTGGTACGTCCTCAGCGGACACTTTTTTCATACAATGGTGGACTAAAGTCCTCCACGGACAAAAGTCTGTCATCTGCGCAAGCCATTAGAGATGTCTTCAGTTGTATCGACGCCCCTAAGGCTTCAGTGACTGAAAGATTCTACGTTACAGCGGATTGATCCTGCGCTTAGAAAACCACTAGAGTTACTCACCATTGCCTGGATTTTAGCGCCCTCAGGATCATGCCGCCTCAAGTCCGGTGACGCTGAAGGATATTAGATTAACTGCGACCAACAGCTCGTAAAAAACCCGATATGCCTAAGTATTTCCAGCAAGCATAAAGGAGGTATTGTTGCATTGGTGGTAATGTCCGAAAACCTGATATGCCTAAGTATTTCTAGGAGGAAAAAGAAGATATTGGTATTTCCAAAGCCGGAATAACTTTGTTAAAAACATCTTACGTTCATACGTAACAAGCCCGGTGACGCTGATATAAGGTCAACTGCGACCAATAGCTTGCAAAAAACCCGATACGCCTAAGTATTTTCAGCAAGCAAAAAGGAGGTATTGTTGCATTGGTGATAATCTCCAAAAACCTGATAAGCCTAAGTATTTCCAAGAGGAAAAAGGAGATATTGGTATTTGCAAAGCTGGAATAACTTTGTTCAAAACATCTTACGTTACAAAAGTAAATATTTACCACAGAAATAAATCAAGATTTATTTCTGTTTAAATATACTTGGTATTTACGCAAACGGCAAAAATGATAACCCATTATAAGTAATTGATAGAGATTTGACCTTTTAAAATGGTGTTCGACAATCACTTTAACATATCAGTATTGCTTTTTTAGGTTAATTAGAGTGATGTATT